AATATCCGATTTTTGTCAAAATCTTGAAACTTTATTTGATTGCAGCTGTATGGAATGTGTATTGGATAGTTTAGGGGAATCTTTGCAGTTTCAGAAGCTGTTTAGTTTTGTTTTCTTGGTTTCTATTCTGTTTGTTATTTATGGAAAAGGATGCAAATATGAAAGTGTATTGGTGTAATTGTTTGTTAAATGTCAATAATGAAGAACGGGAAAGTTAAAAGTATGTTGTATCCATGATTTTACAGAAGTTTCTTGCTACATTTTTCTGATGGGAAGGAGTTGATGGTAACATAGAGCTATGTGTTATCCCCACGAAATGAAGCATAGTCGCTTGGGACTTTGTGAATGGAGTTTTGGAAGTTCTTAATTTTTAAATATTTTGGTGATTTAGGTGTTTGATCGTTGGTTTTAGTGAAAGTTGTTGTATGCTCCTGAATGGAGTACGGAGAATTCAATGCCTTGTTGTTGGTGATTATTGACCAACCAAGTGGCTAAATATTCTCATGGTGGTTGGGGTTTAGAGATTTAAGGTTGGGGTGGCAATGAGGTTGAGGGGGTTTCTTTGGGTGGATATGTTGGAATAAAGAAGTACAAGAGCTGCAAATTTCTGACGACTTTTCAGTTTTGAATGTGGGATTTTGTTGCTGAGATGTTGGCTTAGTTGTTACAGTTAAACATTTTTTTAATCTGTTATTTTTATCGGTCTTTTAGGTCTTTACTACTTGTGGATTTTCTTAGTGCATTTTTCTCCTTCCCTGTTTAGTGTCTTCGGAGGGGTGTGATTTATGTGAATACATTGCTTCAGTTCTAAATTTTTGTGTTTTAGGGCAAATGGCTGACGAGCTAAGGAACTTCTTGGAGATCAATCTCCCAAAAGTGAAGGAAGGTAAGAAGGCTAAGTTCATTCTGGGCGTTTCAGAGCCTAAGCTGGGGTCGCATATCCATGAAGAAACTAAGATTCCCTGCCAAAGCAATGAGTTTGTTCTTGAGCTCCTTCGTGGCGTGCGTTTACATTTTGACAAGTACATTAAAAATCTCAAGGTCTGCACTTTACTTTTTTGCTTTTTACTGGTTGACATTTTGGATGTACTGCTAAGTTTTTTCCTCCTTCTCTTTCTTTATTTTTTTCACTTTTCATAGACTGGTGACTTGGAGAAAGCTCAACTTGGTTTGGGACACAGTTACAGCCGAGCAAAGGTCAAGTTCAATGTTAACCGTGTTGACAATATGGTTATTCAGGCAATCTTCCTTCTTGATACCCTTGATAAGGATATTAATTCCTTTTCCATGAGAGTAAGGTTTGTATTTGTCTTATTGTGCTCCCTTAAGGCCATTACTGTAAATTTACTCCTTGCTTTCTTTTTCCTGTATTGTTTAATCATGTATTTAACCTTTGGGCTTCAGTCTGATCAGTGTCTTTGTTCATGCTATGCAACTTGAACAACTAATCCTCATTGTATTATTGTGTAAACGTGGCTTGTAGGCAAAAGGTTCCCTTACTGGTCCTACTCCTTTTCTTGAACATCTTCATTTGAAACTTGGCTCTAGATTCATGAACTGTTTCCTATCTTATCATGATGCAGGGAATGGTACTCTTGGCATTTTCCTGAATTGGTGAAGATAGTCAATGACAACTATCTATATGCTAAAGTTGCAAAATTTGTGGATGACAAGTCAAAGTTGGCTGAAGATTCTTTACCAGGCCTAACTGAGATTGTCGGGGATGAAGATAAAGCAAAGGAAATCATAGAAGCGGCCAAAGCATCTATGGGTATATGAATGCTAACTTTGTAGTCTTTTTCTTTGGTTAAATGCTGATTTCTGTAGTCACCAAAACAATATTGATATGCTTTTTTCCTCATTTCAGGACAGGACTTGTCACCAGTTGACTTGATTAATGTCAAGCAATTTGCACAAAGGGTGATTGATCTTGCTGAGTACAGGAAGACACTCTATGATTATCTAGTTGCTAAAATGAATGACATAGCACCAAATTTGGCTGCACTCATTGGTGAAGTTGTGGGCGCTCGCTTGATTTCTCATGCCGGAAGTCTTACAAACCTGGCAAAGTGTCCTTCTTCTACACTTCAGATCCTTGGTGCTGAGAAGGCACTCTTCAGGTGTTCTATGTCTTACCAGCCTCCTTTAGTTAGTTGTTGCAATCCTTGAGACATGCAACTTGTTATGTTTGAAAGCCATGGCACATAATTTACAACTTGCTGCTCATATTACACCCCAACTTTTATGGGAAATGGATGAATATTAGTGCCTGTTCATGGAGCTTAATGGCACCAATTGATTGACCACCCTCTGGTTTCAGGGCACTGAAAACTCGAGGAAACACTCCAAAGTATGGTCTTATATTTCACTCATCTTTCATTGGTCGGGCTTCTGCTCGTAATAAAGGACGAATGGCTCGTTATCTAGCAAACAAGTGCTCAATTGCATCTCGCATTGATTGTTTCTTGGGTGAGCGAGGAAAAAGCATGTCTTTATTAGTCATTCTATCTACTCCACCGAGTAATTTTCTGCTTTTTCTCCCCCATTTACAGAGAAGAATACCAATGCCTATGGCGAGAAACTCCGTGAACAAGTCGAAGAGAGACTTGACTTTTATGACAAGGGGGTTGCTCCTCGTAAAAACATTGATGTGATGAAGGCTGCTTTAGAAAATTCTGAAAAGAAAGGTGTGTGGATTTTATTGCTTATTCCTTTAGTTGCTCATCCATCAAATGAATTGATGAACTTTTGATTCCATTTCTTCGAGTGAATACTTCTGGCTCTCTGGTGAGCCCAGAATGCGGTAACTTGGCTGTTAAAGTGAACATGACTTGAAATTCACGTGTCTCTTGAGACATGCTTTTTAGTCAAGCAATTACTAGTTTACTACTTACAGGTGTTTACTCGTTGTGTCTGCTTGGGTTTGCAGAATTGGAAATGGATGTTGATGATGCACCTGATGAGCCTTCAGTAAAGAAAAGCAAACAAAAGAAGTCAAAAGCTCAAGGTGCAGAAGATGGTGAAGCCATGGAAGAGGATAAAACTCCAGCTGTTACAAATGGCGATGCTTTTGATGAGCCTGAAACTGAGAAGAAGAAGAAGAAAAGGGAGAAGCGAAAGTTGGAAGAGGAGTCTGAGAAGGATCGAGCTACAGAAGATGCAAATGGTGACAATGGATTGACCGCAGAGGATGGAACAGCAAAGAAGAAGAAAAAGAAGAAGAGTAGGGATGAAGATGGAGAGACTCTAACTGGTTCTAGTGAAGGTAAAAAGAAAAAGAAGAAGAAATCAAAGAGCAAAGACGATGAATGACTTGTGTATGGTGTAATTGGGTTATAAAGCTGCTGCCTTCTATGTGGCCCTTGCTTATTTCATGTTGTATTTACTAGGAGAAGATTTATGCCCCTGTTTACTAAGTCAGCTTCAGGCTGCTCTAAGCTGCTACTTTTAGGTACGAGTAAGTGTCGTTTTCTCCTTTATGACCTCTATGATTGGTGGACGTCGTTGCTAGTGAAAATGATGGTCATAATTTTGGATTCCTTCTGCCAAATACAGCATTTGCTATTCTGGTTTTGAACTGTTAGCCCTTGCTTGTATGATAATCCTATTTTATTTTAGCTTAAAAAAGTCTGCTGCCTGTCTTGTTTCGCTTATGATTAAGGCAGTACCAATAGCAGAGATCATAGGTTTTCATGAATGTGAATCAAAGTGTAATTCCAGTACGTGCCAGAATCGACCTTTGTTATGCATCCTGAAAGCTGCTTGCTTTCACGCCTGAATATTCAGATGGGATAGTATTGTGCGAAGTTTTCCGTTTACAGGACCATTTCTGTGTGAGGAAGGAAAAATCCATCATCAATTTTGCCTTTTGACCGGTGTGATGACAGTTGGGATGTGTCAAATTCAGTGGTAATCCCACTTATTATGTGATGGTTAAAAAAATTTAAATAAATAATACATGACAAATTAAATAAACAAGACATTTGACATAAATATAGAAGTGAAACTGAATTGTCACAAACGATCATCAGACTGTGGGCTTCCTCAATGCCATTTTTTCAGTGGCAATTCAGTGTCACTTCTATATTTATGCCAAATGTTTTGTTTATTTAATTTGTCATGTGTTATTTATTTAAATTTCTTTTACCATTACGTGATAAGTGAGATTGGCACTAGATTTGGCACCGAATAGTGGCATAGAGGATCCCAAATGTGTTTCTCAAGTCAACTAAATTGAGATTCCATCCTCACAATAAGGTCTTGTTTGGATTGCTATTTTTAGAAATTTTTGTTGAAAAATGTATTGTATCGATTTAATGTATATGAAATAAAAAAAATGATTGAAAAATATATTTATGAAAAACATAAAAAAAAAATGTTTGCGAAAACTAACAATCCATTGTCTTAAGCAACCAAAAGGGTTGATGTTTAGGTTATTTTTATTTTGCACCCTTTAACTATAAGTTTTGCTTTGACTCTTAAAATTCAAAATGAGATACTCTAGTCCATATAGTATAATATTTGCATCATTTTAGTCCTTAGCGCATAATATTTCTCCGACTTTAATTCCCTACACTATAAAATATGTTACATTTTAGTTCTCAAAGTATAAAATTTTGTTCTTTTTGAATATAATATTTGTCTCACTTTCATGGATGATTTTATTTAAATGGGGCAAATTTTATATTTTAAGGATTAAAGTGTCTCATTTTAAAGTTTATAAAGTAAAGTAGAATTTAGGTATAATTAAAGAGTGCAATATTAATGGAATACTAGTTTTGTTTGTGGTGAAAATATGTAATATAACGCCTTAGTTTTTAGAGGATCATATTGCTTCCTGTTAATGTTTTGTTTTTTGTCATGAAAACATGCATACATATCTATACATACATACATATATATATATATTAGAATGAAAATAGAAGAAAAAATCAAATACTATTAAAAAGGGTAATTGGAAAGGGTACACAAGGCCATGAAAGTCTTTTCACATACAAAGACCTCGGGAATCCAAACATGCCGCAGGAAAGCACAATGCCCCCGTTTTCCCCCTCGCTCTATTCTCCCACCCCTCGACTTCTTCCTTTTCTCTGCCTATTACTAACGTCAAAGCGTTGGAAGGTCCGCGCTACCCGCCACAGCTCACCAATCACGACGACACCTCCTCCTAACTCCTTTCTTCTTCTTCTTTTACTAGTTTTCTGCCACTGAACCTTCTTATCACATTCATATTTGTCGGCCCTTTTATCAACAACCCAAGGGCCAAAAAAGAGCAAGATCTGAAAAAAAAATGGAAGCAGCTGCAGCAGCCAATTTGGAGGATGTCCCTTCTGTGGATCTCATGACTGAACTCCTCCGCCGCATGAAGTGCTCCTCCAAACCCGATAAACGCCTTATTCTCGTTGGTAATTTTCTTTTGTGAAGAATTTTAAGTACTTTTTGTTCATGGATTTTAGATAAAAATTGCCTTTTTTTTGCCATGAAAAAATGAAAAGTTTTGCTTCTTTTTTTTCTCTTTGTTTTTGCCTTGTTTTTGTGGGTCTTCTGTTTTTTCTTTTTTGAATACAGTTTTTATTCAATTGCATTGTAACTCGTGGGATTTTTTGTCGTTGAATATGTTAATTGGACCTTGAAATTTGTAGTTTCTGTGGCTGCTGGTCCATTTTTTTATTTGAAAATATGGTGTTATTCTCTTTTTCTGTTTCCCTTTTTGGGATTTGCCTAATTTGGGATTTGGATACGAAAAAGTAAAAGTAGATAGGATATTAAGATGCAAAAAGATTTCTGCTTTCTCAAGTAATGCAGAATTTAAATTGAATTGTAGTTGAACGGGGATGGAAGATGAAACATGATGACAAGTTTTTATCCGAACATTCAGAAGATTTTCTTTTACCAAATTTGTCTTAAAGATGTATTTTCTCGAGCTTTTGAATCACTTGCGCGTTTCAATTGGGACCTGTTGCTTTCCTGAACAGAAGATTACTTGTTAAGATTACAGAAGAGTGTGTATGAAGAAAGATGAGGAAAGATCTTCTTTGCATATCTATCATGCTTCCCTTGGCTGTTTTGCCTGAAAAGTTACAGCTTTTCAGTCTACGAGAGGAGAAAGATAGTTGTGGGTTAACAAAGGTTTTGTGAAAAAATAAGAAAGTTGAGATTATATATTTTTTCAGAGTTGGGAGGCAGCAGGCTATCTGAACTCCTACAAGTTTGTGGAAAGATACTGTTAAAGTGCATCACTTCTTTGTTTGAGTTGCCTCAGTGTACAATATATATGCTTATTAATTCAAATTGTGAATTACAAATTCCCATATTCAAGGAAAGACCATCAGTAACCAATTTTGCATAATTTATTAGCAATTGATTTGCCCATAAGTTATCCAGATGTCAGTGAAAACAAAAAGAAGTGAGTTACATATGATTGTTACATGCATAGTAGTTAACAGTGCCCGGAGCATGCGGTTTGAGTGCAATGACCAGCGAGCCCAATGTCAGCACTATTTCCTTGTTGCAGTGACTGACTTTTATGTAGCATAGGGAAAGCACAAAAGTGCAAAAGCTCACTTTTCCAATTTTACTTCTTTTTCTGCTTTTCTGTTCTTTTTTTCTTTTGAGTTAACTGTTGATTAGTGACTTGGATCAGTTTTGAGAAGCATTGAGTAACTTATTGTAAGTAGGGTAAAAGCTGCAGTCCTGCAGTTTCTCTTTCCTCTCCACCATGACCTTTGATGGCTTTGTCTTCTCTTCAAACGATAAGATGAGGACATGGATAAAATTGATGAAGATCTTTAGATGCTTAATATTCTCTGGGTGTTGGAATGCTTTAAATATTTAACCTGTGAAGATTTCTTCTCTACATTTTACTTTTTGGTCATGACTTAATGTCAAAATTTTATATGATTAGCATTTAAGCTGTTTTATGTTACTTTATTGTTAATATATGGATTTTAACCGAGGGTGCAATTTGTGGTTAAAGTACTCTTAGCATGCTGTGCTTTCGTTTTGAAGCAAATCTTGGAGGAAAGATCTATATTATAGGCTCAAATCTGTTTGAAGTTGCAATTCCTTTACTTATGTTTTTAAAAATTGACTACATTATTGACTTGGACAATGTGAACCAACTGATTATAACTTTAGACTCTTGGCAAATGCAGAAGAGTTATTTTGATAATGAGAATGTTTGATGTATGCTTGTGTTTCAACCCTCAGTTTTAAAAATGCACACATTAGTAATATCAATTTTCTGGTCCTAACTCAAATCTGAAGTAGCAGATGGCTTATGTTTGTTTTCCCTCAGCATGAATGGTTCAATTCTGATGTTTTTTTGATATTTTTGATAAGTTTCAGTGGAAGTATTTTTCTTGACCATTTAGTGATTAATGTGTTGGAAATGGTTGCTTTGCAGGTCCACCTGGATCTGGTAAGGGAACACAATCACCACTTATTAAAGATGAATACTGCCTATGTCACTTGGCTACTGGTGATATGCTTAGAGCTGCTGTTGCAGCCAAAACCCCGCTTGGAGTTAAGGCTAAGGAGGCCATGGATAAGGTATACTATGTTTTTAATTGGTACATTTACTCGTAAATTTCTTCTGTGGTATGTGCTTGGATGCGTTTGCTCATCTGTATATGGAATCCCTTTCTTTCTGATTTATTTTGATTGTGCTGCTTCTTAGGGAGAGCTTGTATCAGATGATTTGGTTGTTGGTATAATAGATGATGCTCTGAAGAAGCCTTCTTGTCAAAAGGGGTTCATTCTTGACGGATTCCCAAGGACAGTGGTCCAAGCGGAAAAGGTTTGAATTTGTGCAGCATACAGATTTTATCAACTTCTTATTGATGTCTAGTACTTTTACTGAATATGGGTACATGCGTTGATCATAACCATGCTATAATTTCTTCCTGTTCAGCTGGATGAGATGCTTGAAAAACGAGGTGCTAAAGTTGACAAAGTTCTCAACTTTGCAATTGATGATGCAATCTTGGAGGAGAGGATTACTGGACGCTGGATCCACCCTTCAAGTGGTAGAACCTACCATACAAAATTTGCGCCCCCTAAAGCACCTGGAATTGATGATGTAAGACTTCAAATTGTTTGTCCTATTTCAGTATTTTGGTTCTGTGACTGGTATCTGGATGCCAATCTATGTATGAGTAACTATTTCTGGTTCTGTGACTGTTGTATTTTAATCTCCTTGTGAATATTCCCAATATGGATCAAACTTTGGGACGACAATTAACTATTAATTCGTTGATGGGTTATTTGGAACCAGACACGCAAAGGCTGACTCTGTTGTGCTTTTTTTTTTTCCTTTTTGGGTGAAGGTCACTGGAGAGCCTCTCATTCAACGCAAGGATGATACTCCTGCCGTGCTCAAGTCTAGGCTAGAGTCCTTCCACAGGCAGACTGAACCGGTATTCTTTCATTTTCTTATGTTTCAGGGTTTCTTGAATGCTGATATTTTCATTCTCCTGCCTTGGTTTGCTTCTTTAATTGAACTGTGCCCTATGAAACAAGACTTTGATACATCATTACGTGCCTTTACAACTCATTTCATGTTTGAGAAAGTGTAGGTTTGATTTGTCAAAAATCATTTCACTAGGTTTATATCTTGTCTTTAAAATCATCTCTTCCAGATTTCCATAAGTAGGACACAGAATACATTGAGGTAAATAATGGGGATGGAGGTTTTGTTCTCAAAAGCTAGTTTTCTTTATATGCTTGACCTCTGGTAAATACTTGAAAGAAAATGGGTGTCATCAAAATTAGGTGAGTGCGAAGATAAGCACAAAAATAGTGAAAGGATACTAGTTGTGGTCTAACAATTGTTGGCATCCATGCTTCCATGTTTTGTCGGTTAATTGATACAGACAAATACTCCCAGAGGCACACTGTGTGGAGGCAGATGCTGTTGAACTGAACAATTGTTATTGCACTAGTTGTAAAACTCCTGGGTCTTAATCGTGTTGATTAACAGCTGTTGCACACTGCTATTGTATAACCTAAAGCAGTATTAGAGTGTGCTGAAGAGACAGAAATGGGTGAAATTACAAGCTTGCAGGGTCAAAGACAGATGAATTTTGAGATCTATGGCTAACAAGTATAAATGGGTTTTGCATTGTGAATATTGCATTGATCCTTAAAAATTTGCAATGTCTATTGGTTAGTATCTATCCATGTAATAGTGAGGTTGTGCTTTGACTCAGTTAAATATGATCTGGGACATGATCTGGGACGACCATTCTTATGGTTAAATCGGGTACTAAACAATGCCATATGGTGCTGAATAGGCTTAATAGCTAATATATTTGTTTCTGGTGCTGAGGCATTGGCTATAAGACGTCATTAAGAGTTCTGTGCCATGCTGCTTGTTCTGGACTGAGGCCTTGAATCTGCTCTATATGAACCTGGTTTACCAATTTGGTTGCATATTTTAAGATGTCTTTTTGGCTTATGCAGGTTATTGATTATTACAAGAAGAAGGGCATCGTTGCAAACCTTCCTGCTGAGAAGAAACCGGAAGAAGTCACGTCCGTGATTAACAAGGCACTCTCCTGATTGAAGAGGCTGCTGAGTTTTTCTGTTGACTAAACATTGAACTTGTGTTTATGTGGATTTTGGTCGCATAGATAAAATACATCATTCAGTTACTGACGGACCTGCTTCCTTCGTGGGGTTTTTGCCTTTTTAACGCTAAGCACGCTTCGGAAATAGCTTTGGAAGAGATTCTTACTCTTGAGTTATAAAATAAATGTGGACATTTTTCCAGAGGATTATGTTCCATTGTATTGCATTGTTTCGAATCATTCAATGGAGTTATGACTCTGATGCTCTGATCTCGTGGGAATTGGGGCTTTGAGCGTTTTACTTTTGTCCCATTGACCTTGTTTACAAGTGGAATTGACCTCGACACCCCAAAATCTCTCGTTTCGATTGTTATTTTTTTCTGAAGTTTTTGTAGAAAAATACATTGTAACTATTTGAAACATGTGCGGTGAAAAATATATTCAAACAAAACGTAAAACGTTTTTTGGGAATAAAAATGGCAATCCAAGGAAGTTAACTTTCTGTTAAAAAAAAAAAATTTGTCAATATTTTAAGAGATGTCTTAGATGGTTAGGTGTAATTTTTTTTTTTTTTTTGTTTTCAAAAGTGAGACTAATTTGAGAAAGTATCTAAATATAAGAATGTAATAAATTTGAATATGTGTTTTCAAATGCTAAATTTTAAATATATAGTAACGTGTGTGTGTCTTATTCTATCAGTTAAGGCGTTGAGGGTTTCGTGGCTGCTGCAATTTGAGGCCTCCAAGGCATAGACTCTTTAAAAGGTTAATTCCACTTTACACCCTTTAATTATGTCTAAATTTTCACTTTAGTCTTTAAATTTAAAAGGGGACACTTTAGTTTCTAAATTATAAAATTTGTCTCATTCGAGTAATTTCATCAAGGAAGTGAGACAGATTTTATGTCCAAGTAGGTATATTTTAGGGACTAAATTGGGATAAATTCTATACTTTAGGGACTAAAATAGACAGATTCTATATTTTTGAAACTTAAGTATAATAAATTTTATAATTTAGAAATTAAGGTGTTTCATTTTAAAATTTAAGATTCGAAACGAGGACTCGGGTATTGTTAAAGGGTGCAAAGTGAAATTAATCCCCTCTCTCAATGACCACGTTCTAATTAGGACAGCTTATATTAATATAATGTTGCCTTGAATTGATTAAATACGTCAAAAGATAGATCTATAAACTTTTCGACATGGATATGCGTGAATGACTTGACAATCTTAGTAGGACAATATTGTAGTCCACATCACATCACCGCCAACTGTTCCTAATAATTTTGTGTATTTTACACACCACATAATTTTATTTGCACATAATGCTAATTTTTTTTTCAAAATATATAATTTTATTTACACAATGCGTAATTTTATTTGCACAATATGTGATTTTAGAACAATTTTTGTAAGTCCTACGTACATTATTAAAAATGAGATATAAGAAATAATTTAGATCGTATAATTTTTTTGAACCAAATGAGCGGTCCATCTGATGACCGCTCTGCTACCCCGTTATCCACGTCGGATGGTCTCATCTGACCGAAACCCCCAATAACTCCACTATACTTGGAACAAAAATGAGTCCACCTTCCCCCCAGTCCCTGCATTTTTCACTTCTTGCATAGTCTTCTTTTGAACATCCCTCTGCAAACTTTAAAGGTATGCTCAGTTCTAGACCTTCCATTTCATTTTCCTTTTCTTTTTTCCAACTCAGTTGATTTGATGCATATCAAGTCTTATGCAGCCTTTTTTTTGGAATCTACTCTTGATTTCATTGCTTATGTCTTGCTTTATCCATGACTAATTTTTGCAATTGGATATTTAGGTGTATTTATGTATATCATCTGCTTCGGGATATTATCAGGTGTTTTAAGTCTTCAACTTTAAAAAATCTCGGATCATTATCATGTTGTGGCTTACTACTTGATCCAACATCAGTATCCACCTAAGCAGAGGAATAAACTGAACCAGTTATCCTACTAAATTTCCAATTTCAGCAGTTATGTTCTTCAATCATGCATGCCTTCCTAAAAATATTACTAGTATGTTTCCTAGGATTACAATCTTCCTCTTCCTTACTTATTTCAGCTGATATTTTCTTCTGTGGTGGTAATTGACTAAGTTTTGCCATGTCAATTTGGCTTCAAATGTCTGGCGTCGTTATATCTTGCAACAATTAATTGCAGCGGATTTCTGGACAAAGTGAATATGGCATCATTTCGAGCATTCTTGAACAGCCCTGTTGGCCCCAAGACGACACACTTCTGGGGTCCTGTAAGCAACTGGGGATTCATTCTTGCAGTATGCTTCTCTCCTGTGAAATATCATATCCAAATGCACAATTCCTTAAGTTTATGGTAGTCAAATATGCATTTAGCCTGAGCCTAATGGTTTTGACAGGGATTAGCTGACACGCAGAAACCCCCAGAATTGATATCTGGCCAAATGACAGGAGGTTTTTCTAGATATATATATATATATTTCTAATCAAAGGGAAGACTTTCTGGAGTTGGGCTCTGATATCTTTATGCATTTCATCATTCTGCAGTGCTGTGCGTATATTCGGCATTGTTTATGAGGTTTGCTTGGGTGATACGGCCACGGAACCATTTTCTTATGGTGACTCATGCCTCGAATGAATGTGTGCAACTATATCAGCTATCCCGTTGGGCAAAGGGCCAGTGGTACGTGAGTATGTATTTGAGGGTTTAATTTTTTCTAATAACAAAAAGAAAGGCTTAAATCAGTTGATGACGATCTTTGTGTCTTTAATCAGCATTATTTCCTTGGGGTTTTTTTCTTCCTGGTACCATCAGCTTCTTTTTTAGCATAGTCTGTCCAACTGCCACAATTCTGTCTGTCCTTTTGTCTGAAGTAGCATTTTGTTGTTAAAAAGCATCACTAACAGGAAGTAAAAATGATGCCTGCTACCAAATGCTTCAATGGTTTTGTGTTTCCAAATCATTTCTAGAAATCCAATTACATTTTATATTTTTACCTTAAAAGAGGAAGCTTGAGAAGTTTGCTCAAGCTTTGATTAGATTGTGACAACATTCATGATGGCTTCACCTTCACTTCCACAGTGCACACTTCACTGTGGCGTCTGTCTAGCCAAAATAGTTGCACGATGTGGGGCAAATAAGGGAGTGGAAGAAAATAATTAGCACAAAAATGGAAAAAGGAACTGTAAATGTTTGAGAAAAACCAGTTCTCTCCCTGCTTGAGTTGCTGAGAGGAATTTCAAAATTCTTCAGATTGATACCTGTTACTGCATCTTTCCAGTTTTTGGCTTATTTCTAGAGCAGTAAATAACCAACTGGAGGCATCCATCGTTTATATCTACTGTACTCTGATATTCGTTAAGACAGGAAATTGCTTATTTGTATCTTTGCGTCTGGTTCTTTTTGTAGGTACTTACAGCAGAAAGAAGACAAGCCTACAACATCTCAGTGATCTGGATCTACGTTTTATGTCTATATGCATATGTAGCATTCGAGGCGATCCTCATTCTTGCAACTGTTTAAACCATTTGTAGACAATAAAATGCACAGAACAGAAGCAACATTCTTTATCTTATATGTACTGATGTATCCATATGACTGTATAACCATTTCTATATTTATCTTATAGAAATGATGAAGAAGCTAGCAAAATACAAGTTCAAACTCGTAAACCTTTTGGTTGCCAACATATGCAATTTCACTTCAACTAAAAATTTGTTTAAGATTTCCCTTTTGTTTTTTTTTTCCGGCAGAGGAGAGGTGAGACTTAAGAAGCGGAGATGGAGAGGAGGCAGCGGGGTTTGTTTTACGTAACTCCTTGAAGCTTTATACACTATTTTGCTTTTCTTAAAGAAGGCATGGAGCAATGGTCTTTCTTTCTTTTGTTTGTTTGACAGAAATACCAAAGGAATTTTATTGATCAACATAATGAATCTGCATCAAGAGCAGAGATGATAAAATCAGGAACCTCTCCAGACACAAGTATCTAATATAGAACAAGCATTTCTTGCTAACAACTGAGCTGCTACATTAATCCTTCTTGCTAAAGGGCTTTCCAATCAGAAACAAGCTTGCTTGGAAAATTTGATCCAACTGTCATATTGTATGTTGCTCATACCTCTTTTCTCTCCGCCAAAATCCCTCTCTACTCTTCCCCATCAGCCAATTTCCCTGCGGGAGACACCTTCAATTCGCTTTTTAGTTTTGTCTTGAGGCTGTGCTCGGTTTATAGAGATTACAGGAATTGTTGTGACTATAGAATCGTACCATTTCAAATGGTTTTCGGAACCATGAGTGACCAGAAACCACGACAAACAAAACAACATAATACAGCGGACACATCCGCGTAATGATCCGGCATAATTCTGCAATATTTGATATGCAAATTTATATAAAACATTACACCAACATATCGCATATCCTATCCTAACAATATAAATGTTTGAGTGGGTGTTATGAACAGTGAATTCTGGTCCCTCATTGGCACCTTCGCTGCGTGGGTTTTCCGTGTTAATGACCCTAGTTCCTGAATTTTCTCTTGACATTTCCAGTGGTGCGGTTCAGTTGTCTCTACGCGGTAATACGCTTGTGCGTGGCTTCTCAATCAATTTTGCCTCTTCATGACCACCAAGAACATCCGTATAAAAAGAATAATCGTTGCATCACATCGGAATGCAAGAATTAGTGTGTTTTGCACATTTTATATCCAAGTAGTACTATTTTGTGCAGAATTAGAGTTTGTTTTTGACTGCTTGGTTCAGTTGCATGAAATTGCTTTTGTGTTCCTGCTACTTTTTGCATTAATATGGATAGTATAGTGGCTACTGGCTGCTAATTAGAAACTGTCATGGATGGTAACCTCTATGACGAATTTCACCGAACCGTTGAAGCTCTTGCAGAAGAAAGAGTTCGCCAAGTTAACCGTGTCCTCAATATTCCATCTCTGGTAAATGTAACTGAAGTATAATACAAGTGTAGTTTTAACCACTTACCATTACCATTGCTTCCTGTCTTCTTCCTTCAACTAAGCACTGATGCTCTAATCAAATCTTAATATTCAGTCCTCCTACTTACTTATATATTAGACATCTCCAAATCCAATATAATTAATTGATAGGCAAAGCCTTTTTGGATTCAAGCAACAGTTAAGATGGCGCCAATTCTACATTCTCATGTGTCCAGGACAAAATTGCAAAAAACCAACTGGAGCGCTTGCAAATTTCCAGTTTACTTGCCATCACTGCAATCCATGGTTCAAAGTCACGGTCGCGGCCCGACCGTTTCATATTTGTCTCGACATATCGGTC